CTTTGGGAGGTTTGTAGAGTGCTCTTGAGGGCTGCGGAGGGCAAAAACAAGCAAAAATGGCCTGTTTTTTGCTCATTTTCTCCCCCCCCCCAATCCCCCAAGAGCACTTTGCAAGCCTTACAAGCCCTCTCCAACTCCAACATTTTTGCAAAGGGGACAGGGTGTGGGTCGGCCAAAAATGCTGTATTCAGTGTATAGGACGCACTCAGATTTTCACCCTTTTTTGAGGGGGGGGAAGGTGCGTCTTATACTCTGAAAAATACGGTAGTTTTATGCCTTTTGTTATATATCCTTGACTCGGGTTTTTGTCCTCCGAAAGTCTCCCGCACATTATCAGCCGAATGGGAAAATCGGAACAAGTTGACTTCAATTTGTTCTGCCTGGTGGCCATCGATTTTTACCGGCATCAGATCGACGAAGAACTGGATCGCCGAGCTTTCCAGTCCATCTTCGAGGTGGTCTCTTCCCCGGGAAATCCGTACCACCATCTGCTGACCTGCTTACAAAGCGTTCACAAGATCACCCCGTGTTGAGAAAAGAGGGCAGAGGAAGGACGGAACGGCACAGGCAGAAAGCCGGACCTTCGCGTCTCACGCCACAGAAGTCGCTCGCGAACCCTCGGCCTCGTTTTATTAAATTTACCCCCCTACCCAAACGACTCCGTAGGGAGTGGTTGGCTGGGCCATGCGACAGAAAACCTGGGATTTGTTTGGGAAAGAGGGTTGGGGGAGAAAAAAGAGAGCTAGTAAGATATGAACAAAATACGGATGAAAAACAAATTGCTCATCTCAGCTTAAATTTATATATTGTTAATGCTGAACCTTGTGAATTTTGCAGTATCGGCTCACGGGCATTTAAGAAGTTTCATCTAGCTGCAAGTGTTTCGTTGCAATTTGTAGTTTTTTTCCTAATGTGACAGAGAGAAAAGGGAAAAATATTTTTAAACACACTGAAAATTCATATATATATGAATCTGTCTGTCTCTCTCTCCTCTCTCTCTCTTCCCTCTGCATCTCTCTTTCTTTATCTCTCTCTCCTTTCTCTTTGTCTCTTTCTCTCTCTGTCTCTCTCCGCATCTCTCTCTCCTCTGTCTATATATCTCTCTTTGTATTTCTTTCTCTGTCTGTCTCTGTCTCTCTGTCTCTCTCCGTATCTCTCTCCTCTGTCTATATATCTCTCTTTCTCTGTATTTCTCTCTTTCTCTCTCTCTCTCTGTGTCTGTCTCTCTCGCTCTCTGTCTCTCTCTGTCTCTCTCTCTCTCTCTCTCTGTCTCTCTCTCTCTCTCTCTCT